ACAGAAAAGTGTTTTCTACAACAAAGCGAAGATGTTGGAGAATCTGAGAAACGGAAAGGCTGTCTGGTCCTGAATCGGTTGTCCATTGGCCAGAGCAAGGCCCGCGAATGAACATGTTCAAGGCTCTGCAGCGCGAATGCATGCGGGTATGCTGAAGAGCATATAGTCAAACAGAGCTGCTCGGTAAACCATAGGCAAAGAGGGAGAAGAGGACAAGAGACGAGGGGCTGTGACAAACAGTTTCGCCGGAGTTTGATATACATTGTCAAACAGAGCTTCCCGGTAAACCGTAGGCAGAGAGGGAGAAGAGGACAACAAACGAGGGGCTGTGACAAACTGTTTCGTCAGAGTTTCAAATATATAGTCAAACAGATCTGCCAAGTAAACCGTAGGCAGACAGGGAGAAGAGGACAACAAACGAGTGGTTGTGACAAACTGTTTCGTACGAGTTTCATATAGGTAGTCAAACAGAGCTGCCATGTAAACCGTAGGCAGAGCGGGAGAAGAGGACAACAAACGAGGGGCTGTGACAAACTGTTTCGTCGGGGTTTCACCGAATCATCAGGAGGCTGATATATATCCTCTCTCTCTCTCTCTCTCTCTCTCTCTCTCTCTAATATATATACATCGTCAAACAGATCTATCTATCTATCTACCTCTATCTCTCCCCCCTATGTCTAGTAGCTCTTCGTAAGGGAATCTGACGGTCACAAACAGATGGTAGGACTCAGCTGCTGATTATAGCAGTCGGATCCCAAAACCTAGACAAAGACATAGCTCATTTCGGCATGCCATTTAACTTCTGTGTGGAAGGAGAGAAGGGGCAAGGAAGTTTATGGTCATGCCATGCCCCTTTTCTTTTCCAAGGGGTGACGGCCTTCGGATATCATCATGAAACTGACCGGCCCTAGATGACTCGGAATTGCAGTAGTTTACGCATCTGCTTCCACTGGAGTTCGAACACCGGTATGTATTTTAACAGGGTGTACCAACTAAGCTAGACAGCTAGCAGGTTCGAGGCTGTAGTTGGAGGACCGGACTGCACTGAGGGTTATACCATGCTATTCTGTGACATACTCTTGTTTTGTTTTTTGTGCCATTATTCCCTGCCCTTACTCTTCTGAGCCTTGTTGACTGAGTAATACTATAATTGCAATAATATAATATGATGTGCTGTTGTATGTTGTGTTACGCCGTACTACATTATACAGCATGTTCTCCTATCTTGAGCTGCACAACGTTGTTAAGTTTGCTATGTTGTGCACTGTATTACGTCTGCTACGTTGAGCTGCAGTATGTTGTGCGTTTCTGCTACGTTGAGCTGCAGTGTGTTGTGCGTTGCTACGTTATGCTATGTTGTGCAATCTTGTGCTACGTTGCTCTACATTGTGCTATGTCATGTAATAGTGTGCTATGTTGCGCTATGTTGTGCTATGATGTGCCATGCTCCGCTATTTTGGCCTTGTCCTGTGCGGTGGTGTGATCTGCTTTGTAGACACAAACAAACTGATTTGCTCACCCTGTGATATTCCAGATGATGAAACCTCCAGACCCAAAATGTCCACAGATTCCATCATTGCAGAGTTTCATTGACGTCCGCAGCACAACAGCAACAACAGCGGATGTGAAAAACACCCTCCAAAGCAAATGACTTCGCCACCTGCAGAATATGTTCACATACCAAACCCCCGTCCAGCATTTAGCCACACTCAAACACAATGATTATGGTAAGTGCAGAGCAGGAAGAACTCACAAAAATGAGGCCTTGCAATGGCATCCAAACTTCAAAGAGAAAAATAAATCTTCCCATAGATGACATTGGGCCGAACTTCACAACATCAATGAGTTGGGGAATACGCACTAGGACTTTCCCAACAGAAGCTGTCCATATTTGTATCCACATCCGAACAAGTCCTCTTTTTTCTTTCATTCCTCCCCCCCCCCCTTCCCCCCTCCTACTAAGTTCCTGGTGTGGGTAACCCAATTTCCAAACATTACATTAGACAAAGAAACATTGTGAGATCCAGGCAACCCGGTAAGCTTCTTAACGCGGAAAGCAGAGCAGAGGGTTCCTTTAAAATAAACAATATAAGAAGAATAAGAGTAATAGAACGTGTCCGAAACAGAGTATATAGGCCTGATTCCGACGTCCGCCACCTCGAAATTGACCGTACTGGTCGTGGGGCACTCCTGGCACCGCCCCAGCAACAGTAAAGAGGCACAAAATAACAGAGTACACCCCTAAACTGGGATACAAGCTTTTTTCCACTCCCATCACGACATCTGCGATAGTACAGAAAATATGGCAAAAGGAAAAAATCACTCTTGCCAATGCATCTTTCAAACCCGCCTGGAAATCAATCTTCTGCGCTAGACCAGTTAAACTGGCCAGCCTACTCTGGCTCATAACCTACAGAGTAGTCCCCGTCAACCACTGGCTGGCACAAAGGCGAAGGAAGGAAGACAGATCAGAACAGGAGTCATGGTGCGAAGTCTGCAACTCCCTCGCCACAGAGACACTCAACCACTGTTTCCTAGAATGGGAGAAGACCCAAGCCCTATGGAAGCAATAGAACAAATTTTGTGCAGACACTCAAGCAAGACAGTACAAATCAATCCCAGCACTCTCTTCTTAGACATTGAGCAAACCCCGCAGTTCAAAGGCTTCGACTTATTCTTCTTCTCACTAATCCGAAAAGCCTCAATTTGGGCGATCTGGAAAAGGAGATGTGACACGACCTTCGAAGATCACCCCACTAACCACGAAAACCCTCTCATCACTATCAAACAACGGACTGAAATCCACGCACTCTGGAAGAAATCTCAGATCCAAATACAAAACACACCAGACAAAAAGCCCGAGATTATCAAAGGATTCACGGCAGGGAAACTAGGAGGGGTTATGTTAGGCACGATAGAAGGAAACAGATTAGTCTTGAAAGACTGGTTCCCTCCGCCATTCCTCAACATTAAGGACCCAGGGAACCCTTCACATCCACCCAGAATACAATTCGATGATCAACCTGTCCACAGACCGTATTGCAGCCCCGATGAACATATAAAGCCCGCCTGTCCAAAAGCTGCTAATAGAGAGTGTAGCAAGGTTTCAAGCAGGGGTCAACGCAACTTGAGGTGGAAAATAGGGAAAAGGACAGCTAGACACACTAAACAACGACTGACTCACCCTCAAGATTTGGACAAGGATTCCACCAATTCCGAACCACCCAACACTGCCTATCCCAGCCTTTACTGGCCGCAAACCAATCAAATAACACCCAACCAACTCCTTAGCTACAACTTCCCCGCCCCCTCCCTCCCACACACCTCCTACCAACACCCCTCCCTAACCCTAAATCATCCGAATAATCTCAAACCAACCCACAGCAGCCCCCCTCCCCCTACCCCCTCTCACACACAGCATCCATCCCACAATCAGCGCCTACCTAAAATCTCATCCCACACCAACCCCCCCGCCTATCTCATCAACTACAAATACGGAGTATATCCCTGACTTCAAATAGTCCTCCTATCAATAGTTAATACATCCAATTTCCAATCCTCGAGAGTAGAAAATTGTCAAGGAGTCCGGAATTAGAACACAGGGAGTCCGGAATTAGAGCAAAGGGCCAAGATCCACATACTGTACTTGAGAAATATAGACATCCCTCAGGTTAATTTGACGAAGGATTACAGACTCAACAGTGACATGTTCTGCCCATCAAAGGAAAACAGCAATCAGCCAAAAACACCAAGGTCAACAACAAGCTAGAATAGGCTAACTTAGGCAGGGGGGAAGATCGGTACATCCTTCTTCAAGGAAGTAATCAATGCCGTCTTCGGGGCCTCCACGCCATAAGGGGGACCGTGAGTGGGTAACCATTGTACTTTTTTGACTTGCCGGGTGAATAGGAACCAGACTGATGCTCCCCAGAATGGAAAAGGAGCCAGAACCTTAAGGTTTTGTTTAAGGTTTCAAAAAAAAAAAAAAAAAAAAAAAAAAAAAAAAAAAAAAAAAAAAAAAAAACACTTGTGAGAGGAGCGCACGGTATTCGTTTCGGCAAATTATGCAATCGGAAGCAGGGTTGTATACCTGCTGACCGCAAACCCCCACCGCCGACCATATTGCAGCCGACCAGTAGGGCCAACCAGTCGGCGGTCTGCCGACCAGTAAGAAAACAGCCATCCACTGTTTTTTTTTCAAATCTGAGTTGGGGGCTGTACTGCGCTTGCTGAGTACAGCCCAAATCCGCTGAGGAACTTTTGGGGATTGGGGGCTGTATGGGGGGGTTGGAGGGGGGGTATAGGGGGGTTTTGGGGTGGTATAGGGGGTATTCGGGGGGTAACGAGGGTGTTGGGTGTGGTTAGGGGGGGTGTATGGGGGTATTGGGGGCCGCTTTGGGGGAGTTGGTCGGGTTATCAGGGGTTCCGGACCCTTTTTTTTTTCTTTTCTTTTTTTTGTGAGGTGCCGACAACCCCCGACTGGCAGGTACTGACCAGCTGACCGGTCAAGGGCCACCGACCATCGGGGCATGCAACACTGATCGGAAGTAAAAAGGTGATCGCTACAACTTCTCATAGTTTAAGAAACTCCCACCATGGGGGAAGCTAAACAAATCAAACAACAGACCCTGACATTGCTTTGAACCATCAGTCCGTCGGAGACGCTTTTTCCAGTCCAGATTTCTGCCGAATGCTAAAAAAACGAATAGGAGCAGAGTCAGCTAACACAAGATTGGAATCTTTTTGCCTGACGCCACCAGCCTTTTTCGTCAAATACGCCCAAGCCCCCATCATTGAGATGGGTTAACCACACCGCGTAAGGGCAGAATAGCTGGAAACAGACCAGTGGTCAAAAGTTTGGCATGAAACAAGCGCCAACATTGCTTCAGCATTTGTGAAATAATGAATGCAGGTCGGAGTCTGAGAAACCTCTAGCTTTCATGAGAAGTCTTTGCCTTTGATCTGGGTGTTTTTGGTTTGTCCATGCGTTTATACGTGTGTCAGTTAGTCCTGTGTTGATTGCACATGTGTCAGTACTAACCCTGTGGCCATGTTGTTGTGGTATGCCTTGGGAGGGACAGAACTCCAAGTGCAGGGGTAGGATGGAAATTCGCAGCAGTAGGCTATTTGGGCAAAAGTAGGACTGGCAGGGACAGGTAGATATATTTGTAGGGACCCCGACAGGATTTCTCGGCAAGATTGGTGGGTTTAGAGGTACGTGAAATGGTACCAGACTTCATCCAGGTTTGTCCAGTCCTAGGGAGATCACAGTCTACAATGATGTTCCTTCCACTTTTGGGAACTGGTACGCCAACGGAAGGGGCGAAGTTCAGGAGTCACAAGGCTGGAGGGAAACAGTCACACAGCTGGAGGCGATCCTAATTGCAACGAAGTTGCCTCTACCAAGAAAAACTGGGGAATGCCTTGAACTTGTTTTCCGTGTGCCAGATGGAAGGGAAACAGTCAATAGTCTTGCCAAACTGATGGAGAGCCGTGTGCTCGGAATCTTGCACGCATTGTTCGGAGGGCAGCTTAGTCAGATTAGACACACTGCTTACCCTGTCTATTTGGTCGTTGGTTCGAATCCAACCTCCAGTTTGGCACTCACTCTGGTCCTCATGCTGCTGCTCCGACCTAAGAATGATGAGGCAGAGCAAGACAGAGACTGACGGAGGTGCTCAGAGGCGGCAAAAAAGCCCTCCATGGCTATGAAGGTGATGGAGGTACATACGTGGTTAGCCGGGTGTTTTTTTGGCCAAATTTTGCACTGAAAGTCTGAAACTGTCATATTGCCCTGATTTTTCGTTTTTTTCTTGTTTTTCTTTTTGTGTGATATGTAGGTGGTTTAGGGTACGCCATGTGTCCAGTTTTGACATGTTTGGAGTATTAGTGAAAAAGTCGGCATTTCGTTGGATTCATTGAATGCTTCATTTTAACTTGGAGAGTGTTTTTGTGTTAGGGTTTTATAGTGTTTTTTATGTTTTGTTTTCGTTTTCTTTGGCCTGTTTTTTTTTTTTTAATGTTTGCACCATGGTAACCGACCGGACGTCCGGACCGGTTTCCAGACAACACCAAACATTTTGCAGGGGTCCGGTGTCCGGTCCTGGACGTCCGGAACGGGCCCCCCCCACGAAAATTCAAAAAAAAAAAAGGGGCCTCGGAGGACGTTTTTCGGGTCCTCGTCGGCCCCTGAAAAATGCCAGGCCGATTTTTCGGCTTTTTTTGGTACTACCGGACACAGGTCGAAAGCCGGACCCGGCACAGTCTCTGCAGACTCAGGTGGGGTGGTGGGAGGCAGGGCCAGCATTTTCGAAGTTCGAACTTCGAGCTCGCCGTTTTTCGAGTCTGGAGGGCGCGTTCGGAAGCCGCCGGCTGCTGCCCGTCGCATCTCCTCTGCAGCCCCTCGGCCATCGCCGACGAAACACGAAGCCACCGCCAGCGTCCAAGAGCCATCAAGCGGCCGCCATCGTCCAGCCCTCGCCGCCGTACCAGCCAGCCGCCGCCGTCGCCCAAGAAGCAGGTCAGTCTCTCTCTCTCTCTCTCTCTCTCTCTCTCTCTCTCTTCCGGGTTTGTCCGCGGGTAGGGTTGGGAAAGATGGGGGTTGGGATGGAGACTAGCGGGAAGAAAGGGGATGGAGACTGGCGGGAAGCGGGAGGAACAGGTTGGAGACGGGTAAGTCTCTCTCTCTCTCTCTCTCTCTCTCTCTCTCTCTCTCCGGCTTTGTCCTTTCTTCCATGCCGGGAGCTTCGGGAGGAGGTTCGGGGAGGGAGAGGGGAGGTGTGCAGTGCGAGGATGGAGGCTCGGGGAGTGAGGACTGAGGTTCGGGACGAGGGACGGCATGAGGGTCGGGGAGGTCCGGGAGGACGTTCGGGGAGGGAAGGGGGAAGGTGCGCAGTGGGAGGTACCAAAGTTCGGGGAGACAAGGGAGGGTTGGAGGCTCGGGGAGATGGGGGGGAAGAGGGAAAGACCCTATCTTTGTAGCGAACTGTTGTCGTGCTCCTATCTTTCCAACTTTCGAGGTGGGGGGAGGTCTGGGAGGAGGTTCGGGGAGGGTGGGGGAAGACGCGC